TATGTCGTTTGTCCATGCGTGTTTTTTTAGACCTCACTGCTCGTTGTTTTCGTTTACAAGCCGTATATTTCTGGTTGAGCCATGGGGCACAGCGATTGTGATGTCATCACCGCCGTGGAAAACGTGCGTGACGTATAAAAAAGCTCTGCATGCGTGACGTAATTTGTTTGTACTCGCTGGTTACTTTTGTTAACCACATTGTTTACGATCAATGAGTTTTGAAAGGTCCTTTATATCAGAAGAGGTTTTCCCCTTTTTTTCTGGAAACAAAACAGGTGTTAAGATGTTAAAACACCAAAATGAAACCTTTTACAACGCACACTCTGATAATATATGCATTGTCTTTTAAACTGATTGGTCCACACTAGAGACAGCTTTCTTTGGAGGCTAGTCTCAAAAGGCGGTGTTAGACCTCTTGAGACGAGCAGAATGATAACGGCGATGATGTTTAGACACTGCCACACTCACCTGCTTGTCACTGAGCACTCACCACTCACTCGTCATGAGGTGCAACAGGCAGATTGCTCCGCATTCACAACTCAGCAGGCAGCACCGGTCTGATACCTGATCCTTGTCACGTGATGATGAGAATGAGCCACTTCGTTGAACTGTTATTTGTGATAGCCAGGTCGCTTCCGAAAGAGAAGCTGATGGTTCAGTGGACCTTACCTGGTAAGATAAACAAATATGTAGTTTAGTTTTATTTGTATATATGTTTAGTGATTTGTTTACATTTCCTATGCTTTGCACGACTATCGTGCTTTTATATTGTTTGTTGTAACGTTCTTACCCCGTGTCCCGACTGGACATCTGTGATCAAAGAGCTTTATAGCTCATCGGATTCCTCCTCCTGCAGTATTAATACAATATTCGTATTATGAATGCTAAACCCACCACCAAATTTGAACCTCTATCGGCCAAAAAAACCCACATTCCCAGTTGGCGCTAAAGAGGAATACCCTGCAGAAAATCCTTCGCACTGTGATCGCACTGCAGCAGCAGCTACAGCAGCTGCGGCAGTGGCTGCGGCGGTAGCTGCAAGCTGCTGCAGCACCTGTAGGTGCTCCTGCAGTAGCATCTGCAGGAGCATCTGCAAGAGCAGCAGCAGCACCTGCAGGAGCAGCAGCAGCATCTGCAGCAGCAGCATCTGCAAGAGCAGCAGCAGCATCTGCAGGAGCAGCAGCAGCATCTGCAGGAGCAGCAGCAGCATCTGCAGGAGCAGCAGCAGCATCTGCAGGAGCAGCAGCAGCATCTGCAGGAGCAGCAGCAGCATTAATATCGCCCCCCACCTTCCACCTCCTGCAGAAACTTCACAAGGCCCTCCTGAAAGCAGACGTCTCGAGACTCCGTGAGACTTTCCTGGTTTAAAACAAAGTGGAAATCAAGACTCTGCTCGAAGCTTTCGTGACTGCAGGAATTACTCTTTGGTTTTCTCGGTAAAGTCACGTATAAATAAGAAATATTTATACGTGACTTTACCGAAAAAAAACAAAGAGTAAAGTGGAAATCATTATACAGTCGATCGTCGATTATATCCGGGCTGCTTGCAACATGCTGCAGTTGCGGTCCTGGGCCGATCCGGTAAAACTTCTCCAAAGGCTGTGAACCCAGGTTCCAGCGATCGGCATCACCGTGTGGGCGTGACTAAAAGAAAGCAGCTACGCTTGATTTCAGTGTTAAATATCATACAGTGAGGGAAAAGTATTTGATCCCCTGCTGATTTTGTACGTTTGCCCACTGACAAATAAATGATCAGTCTATAATTTTAATGGTATGTTTATTTGAACAGTGAGAGACAGAATAACAACAACAAAATCCAGAAAAACGCATGTCAAAAATGTTACAAATATATTTGCATTTTAATTAGGAAAATAAGTATTTGACCCCTCTGCAAAACATGACTTAGTACTTGGCAATCACAGAGGTCAGACGTATCTTGTAGTTGGCCACCAGGTTTGCTCACAACTCAGGATGGATTTTGTCCCACTCCTCTTTGCAGATCTTCTCCAAGTCATTAAGGTTTCGAGGCTGACGTTTGGCAACTCGAACCTTCAGCTCCCTCCACAGATTTTCTATGGGATTAAGGTCTGGAGAGTGGCTAGGCCACTCCAGGACCTTAATGTGCTTCTTCTTGAGCCACTCCTTTGTTGCCTTGGCCGTGTGTTTTGGGTCGTTTTCATGCTGGAATACCCATCCACGACCCATTTTCAATGCCCTGGCTAAGGGAAGGAGGTTTTCACCCAAGATTTGACGGTACATGGCCCCGTCCATCGTCCCTTTGATGCGGTGAAGTTGTCCTGTCCCCTTAGCAGAAAAACACCCCCAAAGCATAATGTTTCCACCTCCATGTTTGACGGTGGGGATGGTGTTATTGGGGTCATAGGCAGCATTCCTCCTCCTCCAAACACGGTGAGTTGAGTTGATGCCAAAGAGCTCCATTTTGGTCTCATCTGACCACAACACTTTCACCCAGTTGTCCTCTGAATCATTCAGATGTTCATTGGCAAACTTCAGACGGGCATGTAAATGTGCTTTCTTGAGCAGGGGGACCTTGCGGGCGCTGCAGGATTTCAGTCCTTCACGGCGTAGTGTGTTAACAATTGTTTTCTTGGTGACTATGGTCTGAGCTGCCTTGAGATCATTGACAAGATCCTCCCGTGTAGTTCTTGGCTGATTCCTCATCTTCTTTGGTTCTTTCGGTAAAGTCACGTAGAATGAGAATAAAATAATAAATTGATAAAATAAAATAACACAATAATATTTTCACGACGTTTCGGCCACAACACAAGCGGCCTTCATCAGGTGAAGGGACGAGACTGTCTGGTAGGACAGCGCTGGAGTGAAAGAGCCACGTGCGATCCACTGCTCCCCTCTTCCGGGTCCTGGGGAGGGTTACTGCTCACCGACTCCCCCCCCTCTTCGCTGCGGCCCCTCGGGGCATGATTCTTAGCTGGCGCATAGCCACCTGGGATCAATTCACACAATCTCTGCGCACACTCACTCACACCCACTCACTCGAAATCCGACGTCGCTCCTCTCCCGTGCCACTCACCAATCGCGCGCGCGGGACTCGGGGTCGGGGGTCAGAGGGCAGGGGCGTCACTCGCACACGCGCAGCTGATTGGGGGGTCGTCTCGGAGATGTATTTAAAGGGCTGTATGAACAAACTCACTGGTACGCCGCCCGTTCACTCCACGCACACGCTAAACGAAAGGGCGTATGAGTAATCTCACGTGCCCCTGGACGAGTCCGCCGCCGCCCACCACACGCACACGCTAACCACGAGCTACACGCATGGGCGAGCGCAAACACGTGAGTAAATACACACTCGCGCACAAACACAGGTTACAACGACGCACACCAACATGCATCCGTCCCACCCTCACAGAAACCACACAAGGTTTATTGATCCCCAACAGTTTATTCTCAGCGAGTCCGAGGCTAAATTACCCGAGTCAGTTTGGGTCAGCAGGGCAGGTCTAACCTATCTCCCGATGGTCTAAGACCCGCTCTGTATCGCCTGTTTAAAATTACTCTCCTAAGACAATCTCACAATGGCCTCGATATCTCACTCTCGGGTATTCACGGTTCGACTCGTACGGAGCTGCTGGGTCGGATCCTCGCTGCACTTCGACTCGTCTCACGGACGTTCGAGTGGCTGGGAAGTCGACGGCCCCGAGCCTGGCTTGAGTACAATACGAACTCCCTCTCCCTACCTTGTTTACCCTTTTTATTGTCCTCTACATCAAAGATAAATCGGCGCTGACCCGCTGGCCTCCCGTCCAATCAGGTGGCTCGGATTTCCCGCCACTCTTCCCGGACCGGTGCTCTCTCAGACGTCCGCTTTTCACCGTCTAAAACAAGCGCATCTGTCCTACCAATCAGAGGACCGGCCCTGTTTTTTCCGTGTGTGTTGTGGGTGTTTTCTATCCACGGTGGCTCAGCAGCCCCGTCGTGACCACGTGATTACCACCCAAGTCAGGGCGCCGCGGTGCGAGTTAGCCTCGGGGGAGGTCGCCCAATTCCCTGGTCGCAGGAAACCGTGAAGCTTGGCCCCATGAGAGGGCTTCTGGGTGAAAACCTGCCGGCCACGTGACCTCCCCTCGGGGCTCTCTGTGGGGGTGTGTGTGTGTTCACGTGGGGGCTCTATGTGGGGGTGTGTGTGTTCATGTGGGGGCTCTATGTGGGGGTGTGTGTGTGTTCATGTGGGGGCTCTATGTGTGTGTGTTTGTTCATGTGGGGGCTCTATGTGGGGGGGGGGGGGGGTGTTCATGTGGGGGCTCTATGTGGGGGTGTGTGTGTGTGTTCATGTGGGGGCTCTATGTGGGGGGGGGTGTGTGTTCACGTGGGGGCTCTATGTGGGTGTGTGTGTGTGTTCACGTGGGGGCTCTATGTGGGGGGGGGGGTGTTCATGTGGGGGCTCTACGTGGGTGTGTGTGTGTGTGTTCATGTGGGGGCTCTATGTGGGGGTGTGTGTGTGTTCATGTGGGGGCTCTATGTGGGTGTGTGTGTGTTCATGTGGGGGCTCTATGTGGGGGTTTGTGTGTGTTCATGGGGGGGGGCTCTATGTGGGGGTGTGTGTTCATGTGGGGGCTCTATGTGTGTGTGTGTGTTCATGTGGGGGCTCTATGTGGGGGGGGGGGGTGTTCATGTGGGGGCTCTGTGTGTGTGTGTTCATGTGGGGGCTCTGTGTGTGTGTTCATGTGGGGGCTCTGTGTGTGTGTTCATGTGGGGGCTCTGTGTGTGTGTGTTCATGTGGGGGGGGGTGTTCATGTGGGGGCTCTGTGTGTGTGTGTTCATGTGGGGGCTCTGTGTGTGTGTTCATGTGCGGGCTCTGTGTGTGTGTTCATGTGGGGGCTCTATGTGTGGGTGTGTTCATGTGGGGGGTGGTGAGGGAAGAGCAGCATCGGCCCCGTCGCTCGGAGGTGGCGGCGTCGTGGCCACGCCTCCGACGGAGAGGGGCGGGGGGGGGGCGAAATTGATCGCCTGGTTAAGGCACACCTGGTCACGTGACCCGTAAGCATTCACAATCCCCACCACAGATAGACACGCTCCGGATTTTCTATATTAAAAAAAAAACTATATAAAACGAAACAATTTTATTTTAAAAGTTAAGGCCCGACTAAGCTGCTATACAGCTTTTTTTTCAAAAGCGGCCTGGCCATCGCAAATGATAGGTCAACGAAGTGGAGAATGGTCTTCAGCGGAAATGTCGAGTTGTGGCAGCCAAATCCTCCAGACGCGTGGTGACGTCGACTCGAGATGTGGAGGGGGAAGCCACGTGGCCACGGGGAGAGAGAGACACGCAAAGTCAAAATCTACAGCAGCAGCAGCAGCAGGCGTCGTCAGGCTCGGAATCGAACCCACGACCTCCTGCGTACCAGGCGAGGTTGTCAACATCTCATCACGCAAATACACAGCAGGCGTCGTCAGGCTCGGGATCGAACCCACGACCTCCTGCGTACCAAGCGAGGTATTCAACATCTCGTCACACAAATATACAGCAAGCGTCGAGAGAACCTCTGTGAGCCAGGTGCTGGGTCACCTGTGTGAGCTACGTGCTGGGTCACCTGTGGGAGCTACGTGCTGGGTCACCAGTGTGACCCAGGTGCTGGGTCACCTGTGTGAGCTACGTGCTGAGTCACCTGTGTGAGCCAGGTGCTGGGTCACCTGTGTGAGCCAGGTGCTGAGTCACCTGTGTGAGCTACGTGCTGAGTCACCTGTGTGAGCCAGGTGCTGAGTCACCTGTGTGAGCTACGTGCTGAGTCACCTGTGTGAGCTACGTGCTGGGTCACCTGTGTGAGCTACGTGCTGAGTCACCTGTGTGAGCCAGGTGCTGAGTCACCTGTGTGAGCCAGGTGCTGAGTCACCTGTGTGAGCCAGGTGCTGGGTCACCTGTGTGAGCTACGTTCTGAGTCACCTGTGTGAGCCAGGTGCTGGGTCACCTGTGTGAGCCAGGTGCTGAGTCACCTGTGTGAGCTACGTTCTGAGTCACCTGTGTGAGCCAGGTGCTGGGTCACCTGTGTGAGCCAGGTGCTGGGTCACCTGTGTGAGCCAGGTGCTGAGTCACCTGTGTGAGCTACGTTCTGAGTCACCTGTGTGAGCCAGGTGCTGGGTCACCTGTGTGAGCCAGGTGCTGGGTCACCTGTGTGAGCTACGTGCTGAGTCACCTGTGTGAGCTACGTTCTGAGTCACCTGTGTGAGCCAGGTGCTGGGTCACCTGTGTGAGCCAGGTGCTGAGTCACCTGTGTGAGCTACGTTCTGAGTCAACTGTGTGAGCCAGGTGCTGGGTCACCTGTGTGAGCCAGGTGCTGGGTCACCTGTGTGAGCTACGTGCTGAGTCACCTGTGTGAGCTACGTTCTGAGTCACCTGTGTGAGCCAGGTGCTGGGTCACCTGTGTGAGCCAGGTGCTGGGTCACCTGTGTGAGCCACGTGCTGAGTCACCGGTATTAACTGTTGTCTGCAACATCATGGGACCTCCTTTGTGGGGTGTCCCATGTGCCCACGATGGTCGTGGTGTCGGGATCTCGCGCTTGCAGGAAGTAGCCCTTGAAGGTGCCCCTGGATGGTGACTGCGGACAGACACAAGGAGGCGACAATTTGCGACTTCGTGAGACGCTCGCTGCCCCCACCCTAGCTCGACTGCCGCGCTTCTAGCGGGTTTCATGACACGAGCAGCGGCCGGGATGACTCCACAGTAAAAGTGGACAAACGGGTTCGTTTTAAATTCCCCGCGATTTTAAGCCCAGCGCTCTCTTGAATTTGAGATGTAGAGGGCTCTTAAGGACAAGTCGGCTTCGCCACTGGATGCTACACGCAGACATTCTTCTGAGTCAGCGCGTGGCTCTATCAGAACTCCGCCATTTCTTTGTTCATAATCAATTGCAAAAGTCCGTCCGTCACAGCTTTGCCGCTCCTAAATGGTTCGTCAGGGGGGTAACACACAAAGCACTGCGGTATTAAAATTCAACAGTACCGGCACCAGATTTCGGTACAGTACATATCAACCACCCCCCCAGCTCCATAGGAAATGTGCTAAATATAGACAGTCTCGACTTATGAACACCCGCACTTGCGAACTAGCTTCCATGAAATATATTTATTTTGACATTGACCTAACACGTGAACTCGCACTTGAAAACTGAACCGCGAGAACGATTTTGTTCAGCGGAGCGATGTTCCGCGAGATGTAATGAGTCGGCCTTGGACTAGGAGTGTTTGTGCGTGTGTGTGTGTGCCCGCGCGCACATGTGTGTGTAAGCAGTGTGTATGGGGAGCGGTAGTGTAGTGGTTAACGTGCTGCGCTCACGGCCAACACCAGTGATTATTATTTCAACTGGTCCTGGGCCTCCCCTAGGTCGACTCGGCCTCAAATGAATAGCCGGTGTGGTGTGTAGTCAACATCGCCACTGGGGAGACAAAGGCGGTCGGGCGTGGTGCTAGCCACCCACTCCCTCGTGTACCGTTCCGGCCTGCATAGATGCTCGTTAACAGCATTTGCCCCTACAGTCTGTTAAGGCTATATGGGGGATCTTTTTGTGCACGTGCCCCATGGCCTTAACGTGCACATAGCATGGCACATGCGCCATGGTAACGTCACCACCACTTAGTGGCGAATGCGGTTGTTGCCCCGTGTGTGTGTGTGTGCCCCATGTGTGTGTGTGTGCCCCGTGTGTGTGTGCCCCGTGTGTGTGTGTGTGCCCCATGTGTGTGTGTGTGTGTGCCCCATGTGTGTGTGTGTGTGTGCCCCGTGTGTGTGTGTGCCCCGTGTGTGTGTGTGCCCCGTGTGTGTGTGTGTGTGTGCCCCGTGTGTGTGTCTGTGTGTGCCCCATGTGTGTGTGTGTGCCCCATGTGTGTGTGTGCCCCATGTGTGTGTGTGTGTGCCCCATGTGTGTGTGTGTGCCCCGTGTGTGTGTGTGTGTGCCCCGTGTGTGTGTGTGCCCCATGTGTGTGTGTGCCCCATGTGTGTGTGTGTGTGCCCCGTGTGTGTGTGTGCCCCGTGTGTGTGTGTGTGCCCCGTGTGTGTGTGTGCCCCATGTGTGTGTGTGTGCCCCGTGTGTGCCCCATGTGTGTGTGTGTGCCCCATGTGTGCCCCATGTGTGTGTGTGCCCCGTGTGTGTGTGTGCCCCGTGTGTGTGTCTGTGTGTGCCCCGTGTGTGTGTGTGTGCCCCATGTGTGTGTGTGCCCCATGTGTGTGTGTGTGTGCCCCATGTGTGTGTGTGTGCCCCGTGTGTGCCCCGTGTGTGTGTGTGTCCCCATGTGTGTGTGCCCCGTGTGTGTGTACCCCGTGTGTGCCCCGTGTGTGTGTCCCCCATGTGTGTGTGTGCCCCGTGTGTGTGTGCCCCATGTGTGTGTGCCCCATGTGTGTGTGTGCCCCATGTGTGTGTGTGCCCCATGTGTGTGTGTGCCCCATGTGTGTGTGCCCCATGTGTGTGTGCCCCATGTGTGTGTGTGTGTGCCCCATGTGTGTGTGCCCCATGTGTGTGTGCCCCATGTGTGTGTGCCCCGTGTGTGCCCCGTGTGTGAGTACAATTTTGGGGACTCATTTCGCCCTTTCCGACAAGCAAGTCAGCATCAGGACTCAAGGTAAGTCAAAAACGGATTTTTTAAACATGTTACTTTATTTTGTGTGTTATTTACTGTACAGTCTTTTTATTTACAGTGTTCAATGGAAATGTAGAATATTTCTTCTAGTTTATGAATTTAACTGCTTCCCTTTTTTTGTTGAATTGTAGCACATTACATAGCACTGCCCGTATGGGCATTTAAATACGGTAGATTATTATGTTCTGACTTGCGAACCGTTCGACTTACGAACGGGCCTCAGGAACGAGGAATCCGCACATGCCATTAGCACGGATGGCTACGTACAGTCTGAAAGATGCTCAACGTACGTACAATCAACGAGCGTAGGGAGTTGTCGAGGTGGTGGTTGGGGGGGGTCATTAATTTTTAACCTTGGTATGCCGGTCAGTGTGTTGGTGCGGTGCTGTGGGAACATATCGGTGCAGGCAGTTGATGGCGTTGCATCAGGGTAGCCCTGAGCTCCGTGCAGACTCACCGACCCCACCATCTACACCGCCAAGCAGCGCCTCCATCATTCCCAGAGAGAGACGAGGCCATGGGTCAGCATTAATTTATTTCGGATGGTAAAACTAAAAAAAAATATGAACAAAATAATGAAGTCTGGGGATGAATTTGAAAATATTAGCTGGCAAAGGTTAACACAAAACCAAAAAAATAATAATAATTAGCTTGCTGCTTAAAAACATGGTTTAAATTTTCGAATTGTTGGTGTTTGCGAATGTTCTGCGCGCACACAGCGAGTGGAGCAGCAGAGGCGCTTTGAGCCGGAACTGCGTGGGCAAGAGGGCTTCTTATAATCGATAGATGCGGGGAGGGGGGCCACAGCGAGGAGTGGATAAAAAATTGCGCAATGGATATTTTGCAATTTTTTGAATTCTGCTAAAGCGCATGGCGTGACGAGAAGCCACTTCCTTGAGCAATCATTCGTCATGTCCAGGTAGCTTCTTAAAAATAGCTATGTATTTGGCTCAGTGAGCTTTTACCTGGTAAAAATACAAATTGCAGTTGCTTTCCTACTACTACTAAACGCGTGTTTCTAAACGTGGAGAACAAAAAAAACCGGAGGTCACGGAAGAAAAATCCACACAAGCACGGGGAGGGGGAGGGACAGACATGCAAACTACAAACATACAACATACATTATCAGTGTCGGGATGTAACCCATGACTTCCTGTATACCAGGCGAGGTAGTTAACATCTCGTCACACGCAAATACACAGCAGGCATCGTCGCGGCCCTCTGACCGACACCGCGCTGCTGCGCGGGGTTCGTCCTCTCGCTCGGAGAGAGGTCATTCGGGGCTGCGACGTTCGCTTCGAGTCCCCGCGGACAGCGCAACGACGAGACCACCACACCCTGCGCTTCAGCAGAATACGAAAATATTGCGCAACGTTCTGCGTTGACAAATGTGGTCCCCCTTTTGTTTGTCTGCTCCCCGCTGCGTGTCCCCCCCCCTCCTCTTCCCCCGCTCATCTCTCGAGTATAAGGGTCGGAACTGATGGTGCAAGCTGAACTTGTCTACTTTATTTATTGAAGGGGTGCCACTGTGACGAGATGCTATCCTCCTCGCCCGGTATGTAGGAGATCAGGGGTTCGATCCCGACCCTGACGCCTGTATATATGTGGAGTTTGCACGTCCTCCCCGTGGTCGGGTGAATTGATTCTCCGCGTCCTCCAGTTTTTCCCTCCACATTTAGAAAATGCGTTTCGAGTGTTTAGATTATTTTGCTGCTGTAAATGTCCAAATGATAAGCCACTTTGTTGAGCCTTCATATCTGCCCAGCTTGCTTTTGAAAAATAAATTAATACTCAGTGGGCTTTTCAGAAAACTCGTTTTTTTGCATTTTTTTGTGTTAAGCAAATTTGTCCACTATTTTTTCTGCTTTTGAGTTTTACCCTCCTAAATAAACTCTACTGACCACCGACATTTGTCAAAGACTTAAACCCCTTGGCCCCATCTCCCTGGAAATGAGGAAGGCGCTGCTGGCTGTGTGCACGGTGTGGGGTTGGTGGGTCTGCACGGAGTTCAAGGCCACCGTTGAATGGGGATGAAGTAAATTCGTGAACGCGTGAAGGACTGAGCGTGGTGGCTGTCGGTCGGTCGGTCGGTTGGTTGCGGGGACTGCATTTGGGGAAGCCCTGCCCCATGGAGTGGTGGTTCTCAACCGGGGGTACGTGGTCCCCTGGGGGGTACACGTGGCAATGTCCCAGGGGAGTACGCGAGATGATTTATAAATATCTGGAATTCTATCATACGTGAAGAGTCATCGGTGAATAATCATGTTGTGTGAATCTGCGAATATAAAAATAACTACGATAAAATGTAAATATACGGTAACCTAGAACGTTATACAATACCTTTCTAAACTCAGTGATGGTAAACAATATGGTTGCCAAGAGTAACCAGCAAGAGTGAACAAATTAAGTCTTTACACTTTAGTTCTATTGGGTAAAGTCACGTAGGTGAAAATAAAATAACAAAAAATCACGACGTTTCGGCCACAACACAAGCGGCCTTCATCAGGTAAAGGGACGAGACTGTCTGGAGGACAGCGCCGGAGTGAGAGAAGCCATGCTTAGATCACGACCTTTAAGCTGTGTGAGAAGAAAAACACAAAGCGCCTTGACAAAGGAATTAGCATATAATTTAGCATTGAAATGGCTCATTGAAATAGCTAAGTTAAAATATACACATCCGCAGAAGTACCCCTTGACAAAGGAATTAGCATAGAATTTAGCATTGAAATAGCTGAGTGATTAGCTTGTAACTGGTCACAGAAATAGCTATGTTAAAGTCAGAGCATATACATTCACCGAGGCACCTAGTACTCATTAAACAGGAGAATTTAGCGAAACACAACCACGCTCAGACAGCGGACCTTTAAACTGTGTGCGAGCAAACAAGGTGTTCTGACAAAGAAATTAGCATAAAAATTAGCATTTGATTGGCGGATTTTAGGAAAGAGGTGGTGTACGTGCCGGTGGACTTGCCGTTTGGCGCGGGGGAAGGGGGGGAGGGGGAGTTTACCTATTGATGGTGTGAAAAGGGAATTTATAAGAGCTGCGAAAGTTTGGGGTACCACTACTTTAAAAAAATATACTGTACCATTGAAATTAGTTTAATGTTTAGTTCGATTTAGAACATCTTTCCAATGGTTGCTTAATTTGAAACCATCCTCTCGGTTGAAATTGTGTCTGTGTTTGTAGATCTGAATTGCTTCATGAACAAATCTCTGATAAAAGCCCGTGGGTTTGCAAAGAACCTTGGTATCGGAGAAAATTATATCGTGATCACCCACAGCGTTTTAACAGTGATCAGCCACGGTAGAAGAATTCGTTTTGCCGTGTTTCAAATCTGATTTGTGCTCGCGAATTCGGTCAGAGACATGTCGCTTTGCCTCCCCGATATAGCAATCACCGCAGGTACAACCCATTTTGTAAACCCCGGGGTACTGTAAATCAGGAATGACATCCTTCACGGATGGGATCAGATCACGAATTTTGTGTACTGTATTGAACCGGACCTGGATCTTGTGTTTGTTTAGAATTTTGGAAATCTTTTTAGTAACGCCTGCTATATATGGAAGTGTGATGGTTTTGACCAGAGTATCAAGTGGTTGTTTCTGTATGGAGGGAGAAACAGCTTGGCGGATGGTACGGTCAGAGTAACCATTCCTTTTCAGGGCCAGGTGTACATGTTTTAATTCACTGGTCAGGTGGTGTTGGTCCGAAATGCAATGAGCCCTATGGAATAAAGTTTTGATGAGATAATTATTTTGGGCTGGGTGGTGGTGGGAATCAGATTTCAAGTAGGAATCTGTGTGGGTGGGTTTCCTGTAGACAGAATGCCCCAATGAGCCATCAGGTCTCCTCTCAAACAGAACATCTAAGAATGGTAGCTTGCCATCTTTCTCCACTTCCATGGTGAATTTGATGGCGGGATGTCTGGAATTGATGTGGTGTAGGAAAAGGTTCAGAGCTGGGAGGCCATGTGGCCAAATGACGAAAGTGTCATCCACATATCTCTTCCACAGGGAAGGTCTGAGGGTGGAAGTCTGGATGGCGTCTGATTCAAATTTCTCCATGAAAATATTGGCTATCACTGGTGATAAGGGGGATCCCATGGGGGTACCCTCATTTTGTTTGTAGAAGGAGCCATTCCAAGTAAAGTAGGTATTGTTGAGGCAGTGCCTAACCAGTGCAGGTGTGTCGGGGTCTAGTCCATGTTGGACCAACTTTTCAATTATTTCAATGGTTTCAGGTACTGGGACCTTGGTGAACAAAGAGACCACATCGAAGCTGACAAGGATATCGTCAGGGGACACTACAACGTCTTTGACCATAGAGACCAATTGGGCTGAGTTAACTACTACTGAGGCGGTCATGCCAGTGAAAGGCAGCAAGGTATCTGACAGAAAACGGGCTAGTCTATAGGTAGGGGAGTTGATCGTGGATACGATGGGTCGAAGTGGGGTGCCTTCTTTATGAATCTTGGGAAGACCATAGAATCTAGGGGGTCTTGCAGCAGAAGGTTTTAGGGAGGGACGTTTAGTTGGGTCGATTAGGGAGGTCGAACTTGTGATGATCTTGTTGGTTTTTATCGCTAGGCTATTAGTAGGGTTATTTTTTTATTTTTGAGTAACTTCCATCGTTGAGCAGATTCTGGATTTTGTTGTTGTATGAATCTTTATCCATAATAACAGTAGCGTTGCCTTTATCGGCTGAGAGGATGACTATATCACTTCTGTTTTTTTAAATTCGCGAGTTCAGAGCGTTCATTTTTGCTAATGTTACTAAGCATTCTTAAGAATAGTGGCTATTTCAGCTCTCGCAACGTCTGCTTGGATGTGTCCTACGCCTTTGAGGGCTACATCGACCTGAGAGATGATATCATCTATTGGTATGTGTTTTGGGGTGACAGCAAAATTTAGTCCCCTAGCCAGTACTGTTTTCAGATTGTCCGAAATCGGGGTGCTACTCTGATTAATGACGATTTTGTTAACATCTAGTTTTGTTATATGTGGAACTGGGTTTTTCTTTGATAGGTGGTTGAATTTAGAAATCAGGTTAGCTTTACATTTGACTGACAGTGACTCAGCAGAAGAAGCAGTCATGTTGTCTACGTGATTCCAATCAGAAGGTGACATTTTTTGTGTTAACATTAAATGAGCTTGTAGGAGAGTCCTGTCTAAAGTATTGAGTTCAAATCGCAGTAGCCTTATCCTCTCTGAGATTAAAGATAGGCTGGCCTTAAGCAGAATCTGTTTAGAATTCGGAGAAGATACAAGGGGTACCTCTGCGGATGTGTACACTTTAACTTAGCTATTTCAATGAGCCATTTCAATGCTAAATTATATGCTAATTCCTTTTTCAAGGCGCTTTGTGTTTTTCTTCTCACACAGCATAAAGGTCGTGATCTAAGCGTGGCTTCTCTCACTCCAGCGCTGTCCTCCAGACAGTCTCGTCCCTTTACCTGATGAAGGCCGCTTGTGTTGTGGCCGAAACGTCGTGATTTTTTGTTATTTTATTTTCACCTACGTGACTTTACCCAATAGAACCAAAGAGTATGGATCCTAGCAGTCACGAAAGCTTTAAATCTAAAATTAAGTCTTGCTTTGCAGTTCCTAGCTACTTAAAGATACATCACGAAATGGACAAATGATTAAAATATTTATGCTCATTATTCATACATTTATATCTTAGAACCGTATTGGGTCGGGCAAAGTACTCAGTTGAGACAAAATTCAACGAGTAGGGTAACAGTAGCAGCAACATAAGG